TAATTTACTGAATCATGACCTGTTGTGATTACAACTTTTTGAGGGCATTAAGGATGCCATAACCAAAGAATCTAATCCCTGTGAACACCCAGTGCCCTCCTCACTCCTCATCTCTCTGTCAGTCCCCATTCGTTTCTTTCAGAGCACAGCCTAAATTTCAATCATTTAGCAGGTACCTGGTCAACTCTGCTCCCCACTGGAATACACTTGGTAAGAGCAAGGACACTCATGTCTACCTTTGTATCCCAGCATCTAATGAGCATTCAATAAATATTTGCTAGATGAACAAAAGTCTGAAAAGGTAAGGGTTGAAAAAGAGTCACAATCTGGGTGCCTGGGTGGCTCAGTCGATTAAGTATCTGCCTTCAGCCCAGGTCATGATCCCAGGGTCCTGGAATCGAGCCCCACATTGGGCTCCCTGCTCAGTGGGGAGTCTGCATCTCCATCTGCTGCTTCCTCTGCTTGTGCTCTCTCTCTCTCTCTCATATAAATAAATAAAATCTTTAAACAAACAAACAAAATAAAAAAAAAAAAGAAAGAAAGAAAAGAAAAAGTCACAGTCAAGAAATAATTCCCACAGGTCTGTGAGGAACATAGGAAACAACATTAGAACAGTACTCATTGAAGAAATGAACAAGTTTGGGTGGAGAAGTAGAGATTATCAACCCCAAGAAGAGACAGAACAAAATGGAAAAGATACTAATCTACAGATGCACAAGCAAGACTAACTGGAAGAGAGGGGGTAAATATTCTCAGGCTCACCTCCTAAACATGCGGCACCTAAAACTTGTCTTTCACTAGCACTTCCAGGCGCTCATGCCTTTCCACCTGCATGTTAGTAAGCTCCTCCCATGCTGCTTTAACGTGTGACACCTCTATCCTCCATGACTATCAGGCAGAATGCTGACAGTCCAAGAACCTAGATGACATCTACTCGTTGTTGCTGTAAGACAGCACAGCAGTTAACATGGGAACAGCACTTTATCTTTTTAAAAGCAGCTTCATGTACTTTTTCTCAACAGAAGTATTAGGACAGAAGTATATTCTTTCCCATTCTTTAAATACAGATTCAAAAAAGACTCAAAGCTTTGGATTTAAATACCAGCTCTGCTACATACTTGCTGTGTGATCTTGGTCAAATTATTTACATTCTCTGAGTTCAGTATCCACTGGGAAAATAATATCCACCTTAAAGACCTGCTACGAGTATTGAATGAGATAATACATGTAAAGAACATGACACGGCAAATGCCCAATAAAGGGCAGTAACCTTCCCTATGGCCTCCTTAAATAATTTGAACAGGATTTCTCGGCTAAGGAAGCTCATGAGCCTAGGACTTAAACCCAGGTTTCCTGATTCCGTAATCTGTTTTCTTCTTACCACATCACTCTGGCAGACTGCCATACTACTGGGCACATAAATATATTCTGACAATAATTGATTAACAAAATCTTTATCTGTCAATAACTAATTTTAGCTTTGCAAAAAGGGAAAAATAGACCTAATTAATTAGGGGGAAGAAGGGGTTTGAAAATATAAAATATAAATTACTCCCAAACCACAGGACAGGTTGTATCAGAGTAATTCTGTACAAACAGAAATTATGACAAGAAACAGAAAGTTCTCTCTGGGGTTATGAGAAACAATTAGAGAAAGAAACAAGAATGACTATGATCAAAGGAATGTAAGGGTTTTGTGTTTTGTTCTGCTTTGTTTTTTTTTTTTTGGTAAGCCAAACCACTGGACAAAAAGATCTGCATCCCTTTCCAAGATAACTCTATCAAGGCCGAGACACATCTTTAAAAAAAGAGAGCTCGGGTGCCTGGATGACTAAGTCAGTTTGAGCACCCAACTCTTGGTTTTGGCTCAGGTCATGGTCTCAGGGTTGTGAGTTCAAGCCCCATGTGGTGGGGCTCCACACTCAGTGGGGAGTCTGCTTGAGATTTTCTTCCTCTCCCTCTGACCCCCTCCTCCGTGAGTGTGCGCTCTCTCTCAAATAAATACATAAATCTTTAAACATAAATTTTTTTAAAAAATTTAAAAATGGATACCTGGATGGCTTAATCTGTTAAGCATCTCCCTTAGGCTCAGGTCATGATCCCAGGGTCCTGGGACAGAGCCCCACATCAGGCTCCTTGGTCAGCAGGGAGCCTGCCCCTCCCTCTGCCTGCTGCTCCCCCCTGCTTGTATGCGCCCCCGCTCGCTCTCTCTGACAAATAAATAAATAAATAATAAAATCTTTTAAAAATTTGTTTAAAAAATTAAAAAATAGAGACCTCAGTGTGCTAACAATAAAAAATTTTTTTCCAATTCCTCTCGGGGCAGGATAAACAGGACTAGCGTGATAAGGTGTCAATAAAAACTATCAACATTCATGAAGACCCTTGAAGATCATAAATGTTTGGATTCAGTATTAATAAAGAGCAGAAAGGGGCATGATCAAAAAATAAAAGTTTTGGGGCACCTGGCTAGCTCAGCCAGTAGAACATGCAATTCTTGATCTCAGGATCATGAATTCAAGCCCCACATTGGAAGTGGAGCTTACTTTAAAAAAAAGAAAAGAATAAAAGTTGAATAAGTTTCCTAACATGCGTTGAAAATATTTTGAGAATTATACAGTATAGGGGCACCTGGGTGGTTCAGTGGGTTAAAGCCTCTGCCTCTGGCTCAGGTAATGATCCCAGGGTTCTGGGATCGAGCCCGGCATCGGGCTCAGCGGGGAGCCTGCTTCCCCCTCTCTCTCTGCCTGCCTCTCTGCCTGCTTGTGATCTCTGTCTGTCAAATAAATAAATAAAGTCTTTAAAAAAAAAAAAGAATTATACAGTATAAGAAGAAGTTATTACAGTTAATAAAAATAACCAATTGTTTTCAAATGACATATATAACTAATCTTTTCCAAGAGACAGACAAAACTTCCAGGAATAAGTTCTAGAAGATATTCAAAGAAGTTCACATCTTTCATAATCCCCAAGAACTTTCTCACTAAAAGAGAAGACAGAACAATTAAGTCATATTCTGAATCCATAAATTTCTGAAAAGAAATACCAGAAGAGAGCCTCATCTGACACTGACAGAATAGCACAAGATTTAACCAAAAAAGGTAAATAGTGGAGTGAATTTCTCTTATAAAACAGGACAGAAGCTGATCAGAAGCTCTATCCCTGTAACTCTACCACCAGCACAACCAAATTTCTTGTCTTCTTCAATCCAGCTTAAACCTCTGCTAATTATTTCCTACAGAAACATAACAAAATGTTCCTAACATTTTTTTGTGACACTCATAGCAAACTCCATCTATTATTTAGCATTAATTAGGAGCTGCTGCAATACGACACTAACTATAAATTCTATGCAGAATCAATCCCCAGGAGATAATGTCACTTCCTTCTCTAAATTCTTTCTTCTGTTATAAATTTCTCTCCTACCACAAAAACTTTTCCAGAGAGCACACATTCTTAGCCTAACTTCCCAATGTAAACTTGCCACAGTCTGGTGGCTCTTCATTAAACCCTTTCTGGAAGTACCGAGATCCTGATATCTAGGAAATCACTCATAATCAAGGGCCCTACATTTAAATACTGCTGACCTCAAAAAAAAAAAAATTAGAGGAACAATAATCTTTCCAAAACTCATCAGAATTCTAAAACTGTTTTAAAAAAAATAGACTTGTATAGTTTCCACCTAAGAACTAGAAATTTAGTCTATTTTCTCTTAAAACCACTATCCTACTGACTCTACATACTATGCAAATACTTATTCAACCTAGAATGACCTCTAGTCTGAATATTTCTTTTTTCAACAAAGAAGCTACACAAATTAGGATGGAGACACTGAATCCAATGAAAATAAAATGAATAAGAACACTTAGTTCCTCCCCCCCCCCAAAAAAAATGGAGCTGCCGGAATTTTAACTTTCTATTTAAATATATCAATATTTGAATGATTCTTACACACAACCTGTTTAACTCTAGTATATGCATAACTAAACCACTAATCAAATATAACAAAACTGTTCCAAAGGCAACTCCTTGGGTTTCTTCTGGATTCTTCCTAGAAAGCAAACTCTCAAGACAAATATCTGATTTCAAAATCTTGACCATCCTGTCGGACATTAACCACTTAACACCATAGCTGGAAGACTTTCACTGAGAATAAGCTGAGGGGAAGAAGAAATAAGTATCAACCAGAAAGCAAACTGGACAGCAAACGAAATTTTCTATCAAGAAACAAAACTGTCATTGCTATTCTCACGAAAATGATGCAGACTTTGACAAGCAAAACCAGCATGCTCTCTTCACTTATGAAGTACCAGTGACAGAATCTGATTACCTAGGTAGGAAGGATCACAAACGACAAGTCACTGTGTGCATAAAGGGATAGATAAACAGAAAGACGACAACAACAAAAAACGAACTTGTAAATGACAAAAAGCAGACTTAAGGTGCATTTAAAGATCTGCTGGGGACATGGGGAAAAGTCAAGCACCAGAGCTCAGTCTCAGTTTCCCTACCCCCAAAAAGCAAGAACATGACACTTCGCTCAGAGTAACCAGGGGGCCATGTTGCACTTGCCTCCACCTATTCAAAGGTCCCTTCAAAGGCCGGACTCAGACGGGGTCCCCAGCGCAATTGAGTCATGACACCCGGAGCCTTGGGGGTGGGAAGGCGGGAGGAGAAACGGAGGGTCAAAGCGCGTAAAGCTCTATCTGTTCCTGGAAAGCGATTTTCCCCCCACACCAGGGGTGCCAACACCCGCCCAAGACCCAACACCCCCTCCCTACCGAACCGCGCAGAACAGCCCCAGCAGCTCTCCCTCCTTCCGGTCTCTCCCTCAGTTCTCCACCGCCTCTCCGACCGCGCCCCCGAACGCAAACGGGTAGCTCCTCCTCCGGCCGTGTCTCTGCGGCCGACCCGCTCGCCCACCCGCCGGCGCCAAGGTCTTCTCAACCCGCCGGCGTAAGGATGCCGGGCCGGGCCTCCCAGGCTCCTCCCGGGCCTACCTGCAAGACGGGCGGGGGCTCCGTCTGCAGCCCAGCGAGGGGACTCAGCCACCGACAGGAAAAAGAGGCAGGCAGGAAGCAAGGGGTCCGCTCTACCGACCAGCGGGAGAAAGCAGCCTGAGCGAGGGGCCTCGCGGTTAAGTCAGCCTTCGACCCGGCGCCGCCACCGCTCAGGAGACATCAAGCAAGAAGACGGCGCAAAAGATCACCGAATACACGAACGCCCCAGACATCATAGGAAGAGTGCCCAAGCAGTCGTTCAAGGAAGTCCAGTCGAGCGCCGAAAAACAGCCCAGCTCCAACTCAAGGTCCGACTCCTGTCTAAGTCATGAATAAACAAACCCAGATCATAAGCCATGGAGTAAAGTAGCCGGTGCTTCTGCCATTTTCTGTGTTGGTTGCCCACTAAATTGTTTAGAGCACCGAAGTTTTTATTGGCTGTTGAAGATCAAGTCATAGCACAATAATACTTGGTAGTTCAGCGACTACGTTATGGACTCCTAACTGAGCAAGTGTGACTTATTTTCCTCACGGACAGTGAGGTAAAATAAATATACATGTATATGACAGAGGTAGAAAGAGATAGTGAGAGAGAATCCAGACTGAGAAACAAAGTGAGTAATCGCTGTTAAAGCTCCACTTGGGCAAAGCATAGCAAAGAGTAGCTGGGAAAATTTCAGGGGTTTGTAGGCAGAACTTAAGGCAGGAAAAAAAAAATACACACATGCTTTTTAATTTTATTCCAAAGGCCTGGGACCACAGGTGTGCTTTTTACTTAATGATAAAAATTCTTGGGGCGCCTGGGTGGCTCAGTGGGTTAAAGCCTCTGCCTTCCGCTCAGGTCATGATTCCAGGGTTCTAGGATCGAGCCCCGCATGGGGCTCTCTGCTCAGCAGGGAGCCTGCTTCCTTCTCTCTCTGCCTGCCTCTCTGCCTACTTGTGATCTCTCTCTGTCAAATAAATAAATTAAATATTGAAAAAAAAATTCTTCTTTGGTCAGAACCTGACAAAGTTGACATTTTCATCCTCACCCCCCTTCTGAAGTCTCTTAGTAGACAAACTAATATGCTCAGCACAAATGTGGATTAATCCATGCATCCTAGGTCAATTCAATAAATCACATAGATCACTCCTTTTATGGATTACCAAGTGTGGGCAACAATACAATCCACCCTACCCTCTCCTAAGGAGGGAGAGAGGAGACTTGGACAGTAAAGGTGTAAAAAAGAAGATAGTACCAGCCCTTAAGGAGCACATAATCTAATCAAAGTGAAAGACCTCATCTTTGGGGCACCTGGGTGACTCAGTCAGTTAAACACCTGCCTTTGGCTCAGGTCATGATCCCAGGGTCCTATGATAGAGCCCAGGGATAGAGCCCCAAAACAGGCTCCCTGCTCAGCGGGAGCCTGCTTCTCCCTCTCCTTCTGCTGCTCCCCATGCTTGTGCTCTCTCACTCTCTCTCTCTCTTTCAAATAAATAAAATCTTTTTAAAAAATCACATCTTTACAACGTTAGCTTTACTTACAATTTATTATAATTTTTTATTTTTTTTAAGATTTTATTTATTCATTTGACAGACAGAGATCACAAGCAGGCAGAGAGAGGCAGGCAGAGAGAGAGAGGAGGAAGCAGGCCTCCCGCGGAGCAGAGAGCCCGATGCGGGGCTCGATCCCAGGACACTGGGATCACGACCCGAGCCAAAGGCAGAGGCCTCAACCCACTGAGCCACCCAGGCGCCCCTTATTATAATTTTTTAAAAATCGCCTTCTTTAAGTCTGTAACAATATCTAGGGACAACTCATACATATAATACAGGATAAAACCAACAACCATAATATGAGGACAAAACACTGCGCTTTTGTCGTCTACTGCCATTTGAAGGGAATTAAAAATGAGTAAACATTATAGAAAATTTACAAAAGTTTTAAAAAAGAATTTAATAACCTGCTTCCAAAACACAAAGTTTTAATTTGTTCTTGTTCCCATTGAAAATATCCTATGTAATGTTTTAAAGTTTAAGCAGAGATACAACATTGTTATTATTTTGCATTACATCATTTCCCTATTAAATCTTTAACAGTTATTTTTAACAACTGCACAATATTCCATTGAGAGGATATACTGACCTTGCTTCCCATTGTTGCATATGCATGTTGCTTCCAAACATTTTCTGTGTAATAGGTATTGCTACTTTTGGAAAGAGGCAGGTGTAACCTTTTTATTGATGATTAAGACCTATTGCACATAAAAAGAATAAGGAAGGAAGCAAGGTCGAGATTTATTTCTCTGTCACATAAAGGAAATCCAGAAATGCACAGCCTAGGATAAGGTGTGGCCATTTGTTGTCGGGGTCCAGGCTTCCATCTTGTTGCTCTGACATCTTCAACAAGTGGCTTTCATCTCAGGTCCAAGACAGCTGTACAAGCTCTAGCCACCAGGTCAACATTCCAACCAGCAGGAAGCTGAAAGGAGAAAGGCATGTCTTCCACCATAAAGGCGTATCTTGAAAATAGCACAGGACATTCCCACTTATATTCCACTGGCCAGAATTTAGTCACATAGCCACACCTAACTGGGAATTAGTGTTTATCCTGGGCAGTTCGCAAAGTCAGGGGCCAAAGAATACTAAGTGCCGACTAAATAAGTAGTCTCTGCCACATTCCTGAAGCCAGATGAGAAGCAGCAAATAGACTTTCCTTTGCTGTCACCCGGGGCTGAGTTTCTATTCCCAGAATACATGTTTTAGAGAAGCTTCCTTCTTAGAAAGGCTTGTGGGGCATAAGGATCTGAAGCTACAGCCCTAATTCAAACTTGACCCAAATAACATCATTTTGAAAGCTTGATTTCAGTGAGAAAAACTAAGGAAACTAATTTCAAGGCTACAAGAAATTTTCAGTCTTTCAAAACTCAGAGACTTTAATTTTGGGAAAAAACACTAGAAGTTTATGCAAACATAAATCAGGGGCGCCTGGGTGGCTCAGTGGGTTAAGTGTCTACCTTTGCCCCTGGCCTTGGCTCCACGGTCCTGGGATCAAGCCCTGCCCTGGGCTCCTTACTCAGCGGGGAGCCTGCTTCTCCCTCTTCCTCTGCCATTCCCCCTGCTTGTGCTCATGTGCTCTGTCAAATAAATGGATAAAATCTTTAAAAAAATATCTAAGATCATCACCTAAAAATGGAGATATTTGAGAAGCTGAGGCTTAACTGCTCTGTGAAACCATGGGAAAGATGGCTTATTCTGCAGGCAGAGTTGCATCTCTATAGATAGATTTCTCTAGAGAACTGTTTCTTTACAAGTGTGGATTTAAGCTTCAGTGTGACAGTAAACTACTGCTTGCTCTTATGGGAGTCAATTTGGACAGAACAGTAGATTATAAGAGATCAGGAATTGAAATCCTCAAATCTACAGGAATCTCCTCACACTTGAGAAAGACTTAGAAAGAAACCAGGTGGGCAGAGTAAAGATCATACTGGGTTATATACTGGATGCTTACATATTGGTGTTACAATTCAACAATTAATCATTTTAAATATTTATTTATTTATTTATTTATTTGAGAGAGAGAGAGAGAGAAAGCACGAGCAAGGAGAGGGAGAAGCTAAGAAACAAGGTCTCTATTTTGTATGGTTTGAAATTGGTACACTGGCAATGACCCAATATTGTGGTTTTCTCTTAATATATCCTGGGACTTTGCTGTCTTGAAACATCTAAACATCGAACCTGATGTGGGGCTCGATCCCAGGACCCTGGGATCACGACCTGAGCCCAAGGCTTAATCAACTGAGCCCACCCAGGCACCCCTTAAGAATTCATTCTTTTTTTTCTCAACAATTCATTCTTATATTGATTACTGATTATTGTATTCTGATTGGATTCCCCTGGGGGAGCCACCCCCTTGAAGGTAGGATGATGCTTCCCCTGAAGTAGGGTGACCATCTGTCCCAGTTTGCTGAGGACTCGGGGTTTCCCAGGACAAAGAACTTTCAATGCTAACACTGCAATAGCTCTGGGCAAACCAGGACAGCTGGTCCCCCTAAGAATGGACTTAGCCACTGCCAATCACATGGGAGGAACTTGTAAAGACTAAGCCAGGAAAAGAGGATTGGGACATGTAGACATGGGGGAATTGCCTGGGATAAAGAGTGAAAGGAGAGAAAAGGAGAGAAGGGGAGAAAATTTTTCCTTATATTGGCTCTGGGCTCTAAACAACATCTACTACACTCTGCATGGTAGAAATTGGCCCTGAACTCTGTAGCAGCACCGTGAGTCATCTTATTAGGAATTCTAGGAAGAGGAATTGGGCCTTGAGCAGCCAAATGATGAGCCAGTTGTAGGTTTTGCTGTTCCAGTTCTGTTCTTTTGTAGCCTGATCTCATGGTACTGTGGGTTAATGTGCACACTTTGGGTTGGATGGTAAAGTAGAAGCAAGGTAAAGTTACAGAAGCAGCACAGGGAAGGGGAGAGATTCCAAAACAGCAGGTAATCATTCACAGTAGAATTACAGAAGACGCTTCCTTCTTTGGAATTACTTATACAGGGTAAATATTCAGTGGTACAACTGGATTGAAATGTAGGAACATGGGGCACCTGGGTGGCTCAGTGGGTTAAGCCTCTGCCTTCGGCTCAGGTCATGATCTCAGGGTCCTGGGATCGAGCCCCGCATCGGGTTCTCTGCTCGGCAGTGAGCCTGCTTCCCCCTCTCTCTGCCTGCCTCTCTGTCTACTTGTGCTCTCTCTCTCTGTCAAATAAATAAATAAATAAATAAAATCTTAAAAAAAAAATAAAAAATGTAGGAACATGTTAAGACTCTAGAACGACAAAGAAATCAGCCCTTTCATAAAGACAGCCCTCTATATTAAGGTCTCAAGAGAATGAAAGATCCTTAATTTGTGGGCAAACATGGAGATTCCTTTCAAATGGACTTTGTTTAATGTGCTAACTTATGATTTCAAGGTCTAATTTCCTTGCTCCTTTTTAGTATCCAGAGATCTCATCACTTATTGTACTATCACAAAGGGGGTTTAGAGTGTAGTCATTAAAAAAAAAAAAAAGGCCTGTGAATTTGATGTGTTAGGGAACTGAAGTTGAAGTATTCCCAGCGTTCAGCTAGTACTTTCTCTTCTTTCCTGCATTGCCATTCTTAGAGTCATCTAACTCTTACTTTTGTTATCTCTTATTCTCACCACTTTGTAAAATTTGGGCTGGACCTAGAAAGCAATTCAG